AGGGATTTCTCTGCCCTTACACTCAATACCATTCCTACACCTGCGAGTCCTCGTGAATTTTGCAGATTCCCCTTGTTGGCAGGGTGGGGTTAAATGGGTCTTGTACGCGTGTCTCCGAAACACAACATACATACATGGCTCGAGATTCCAGAGTTCTGACTAGTGATATCTGTTTTCCCACTTGGCAGAGGGTCCTCACGTTAGACGCTCCAATATGAAGTTGGCGGCTTGGCTCTAAGGGGTTATCAGGAGTATTTTTCTGGCTCTCATCGGTACTTGTGGTCACAGAGTGAACTGAAGATGACTCACTAGCCTGCAGAATAGTTTTAACAGTAGTAGGGAAGCAAGATGATGAGGGTGACAGGGATAAAGAAGGATGATGACCAGGAGGGCTTTGTGTGCTTTTGGAAGTGTGTGGGGGGTTGTTGCACACCTTGGAAGTTGATTTTTTCTTGGGGTACCTGAGACAGGGAGTTAGTGTTGCGTGACCTCAGGGTCCAGGGGACAACTGCTTGAGGCCAGTCACACACGGACTGTATGGATTGGTTCAGTGTTACAGATCACCGTAGGGTAAGTCAGGATGTACAATTTTGGGGTCAGCTTTTTCTAACCCCTTGTCTTCAGAGTGGAGAGACAGCATAGTTTGCATGCTGGTTATCTGAGGGAAACAACCTACTGCCGTAACATCTCTGTTCCCCAACAGTACGATTTTGCCCACAGACCCCCCAGCATAGTGCACAAGACATCTCACACTATTCCGGTAACTGCTTTTAGTCTAATCGCTGCACTAACAATCTTCCTGGAATGGTAAGACCGGTAGGAAGAATGGTACCAGCCAGTGTAGCTTGTTGGGTCATTGCGATATGCAAGCCTGACCACTACGTCAAGGTAGCAGCTATCGTTCGGCTCCCACAGCCGGATATCTCGTCTACTCCAGAGATGGCGTAAGTTGTCCAGCTTACATATGTTCCGTGTAAGTCGAAGGCCTGAACTCTACTCAGCTGAAATTATGACAGTGATATGTGTTTCGATGAAACTTTTTGAATAGCTTGTTGGCCTTAAAAAATAAGAATGATGTTTGCTTCTTGTGAATTTTCGTGCACTGCAACAACTGGTCACTCCACGTGTGTGAACTGAATGAATGCTTTATTAAGTGAACTTGTCATGCGAATGACTCTGTATCGTGGTTGACAAACAGGAATGCATGTCTTTTAATTGAGTTAAGAGAATGAATAGCTCGTTTGAATAATAAAACTAATGGTTTCTCACTGTGGTTATCTTCAATAGGTAGTCTCACCTTTCCTCCATTCACTGATCAACACGACACCGGATGTCGGACTGTTAGGAGGAAAAGTCAGGACTGAATGACTGTTGATTGAGACGCATTTCAATTGTTGTCACCTTAACATTGGCGTATATTCGTGGACCGACTGCCCAGCTCACTCCTGAACCTCTTTAAGCCAGTAATAAGACTGGTAAAGAGGGAAGGTTGAGCATGAGGCTAGCAACCCCATCCCGTAAAAATAATCACCAATGCTACCAAAACTTCAAGCCTCTAGCTTGAAGCCCTATGTTCCACTGGGAACGTAAAGGAATAAAAAATATTCGTGGACTATTTTCCTATATTGGTCGCCAGCATTATGGCCAGAATTAGTTCACTGTTTTGACTGTATAACTTGGAAGCCTTTCGGCTTGTAATTTCCACTCAACATTTGGTTCAGTAGAAATAGGATACAGTCTCCTCGACATACACTTTGAATTACATACGTAGAATTTATATTTTTGCACAAATCTCAGTGAAATTAAGACAAATAATGCTAGCTTTTCGTACGACAAACGGGTCTGAACTTCCTCCTTTTACATATGGACAACTGGTTTACAATCCTCTCTAAAACAAATTCACATTATTTGCTGTCAATATATATTCAGTCAATTATTCCACCGTGATTACTCAGCAATTAAATCAGTCATTCAGTATCGTGTTTATCAGAGAATGATAGAAAGATGAGATTACACGGTAAAGCTAAATATGTAGAATTAATAATAATAATAATATATTTATTCAAACGAGCTATTCATTCTCTTAACTCAATTAAAAGACATGCATTCCTGTTTGTCAACCATGATACAGAGTCATTCGCATGACAAGTTCACTTAATAAAGCATTCATTCAGTTCAAAGTGAAACAATAAGACGATAGATAGTCAGAGAACAGTGTGTTACGTGTTCTGTGGGTTGGAAACTTCTGTTCACTTATCGATCGTCAAACATACGTTCTCATGCACATATAAATGCACACACATGCCCTTATATGTATGTATGTATGTATGTATATGTATGTTTTACAGACTAATAGCCAGCATAGAATCAATTCGATTGACAGACTAACAGATTAATGAATCAACGAATGAATTAGTTCAATCGTAAATGTGATCCGGTGGTTAGTAACGCCTTCAACGTTTAAGGATTGATACCAGTGAGACATGCGAAACGCATAATATTTACATTGACGATCAACCGAACAGACCAGTGATAGACATTTACTGGATGACATTGTGTTATTGGGTGCAGTCATTAAACATCCGGCTTCATACTTTGTGAGACCCAGTGCAATGCAAACTATCCACTGTCTGCTATCACACTGACACATACATGCTCATATTTAGCTCTATTACAATTCGACCAGACTGTATTAGACAAGTTTCACTTAATCAAATACGAAGTTTCGCTGACAGTAATTTTATGGTTAATTGTAAAACACTCAATCCTGCATTCTATCCGCTTCGTGTAAATAATCTCCGCATTCAGTTCTCGAGATATGTTATGTGTTCCCTGCCGTAGCCTCTCAGTGATTCTTCTCTGTAGCAGCTTTGCCGACCAAACGTGAAACCTCACTGCCTGTCCAGAAGGCATCATACTTTATCCAACTTATTTACATTATTATATATAACATAGGCTGGAGAGTTACTGAAATAATCATCCCTCCAAACCGGTGACATCTAACTACAAGAGACCTATCCGAAGGACGCCTAGCGGAGCCGTTCCGTGTAAAGCACCATTGATCGATGTTTGATTTCGATTATAGCTTGATTCCACACCGTATTTTTTGGTGCAAATATGGAATTTTCAGCATGTGATATCAGTAGCCCAAATTTTGCAGGCCGACCATAGATATCAGGTGTGCCTCGGCGGGGGCTCGAAACCCGGACCATATACGTGATCGGCGAGAGTCCTAACCGCTACGTTAAGGTCAGAGATTGTCGCACTGACTCACCTCAAACCACACAAGTAGAAGCAAACACCACATGACATCCCAAAGGACTGATTTTGTTTTACTAGTGAGAGATGAAGCATGGGGGCTCCTGGGGCTCCACCTTATTTATTAATCAGTAATCTATAGAAAACATTGAAAATGACAATGGAGAAAGCCTTTTCGTAGACTGACACAATTGGCACAAATGAAGGAAATGCTGAGAAAATTAAGTCATTATGACATACCAAACAATATTGTAAAATCTGAATCTTTCACTACACATAGAAAGGGATTTATTCAACGAGTTAAAATGAAATTCTCTATGGAATACTGAGGTTTATCTTGAATGGCAAGTGGTGGTAAGCGCAATTGACTAGACGGCCAACTAAGTTTTTAAAAATATGCGGGCTGAAATGAATCTTTACATAAGGAGTGTCATGTTAGTTTCGAGGAGCTTCATCTTAAAGACTTATGAAGTGAATCAAAATTACATGGTGACGCCATCACTCTGTTCGCAGTGTTCCAAGGGTCACTCTGAATGCTCAACTCCAAGGGGCTGAGTTTCTCGAGTGTAGAGTGCCCATGTGAGCACCGAAGCACTGATCGCTACCAAACTGAGTGGTATTTAGGTAGGCGATAAAATCCGCACACCTAAGATCAAAATTTTCTCTATCGACAGCGTATGTACGAACCGCCACACATATCCTTCAGGAAGTCAAAGTGAAAACGGAACTCGGAGAATGGATAACCTTGCTTAACCCTACTAGTGATAATACAGTGATGATACACGGATTGTACGCCCTAATTTTACCTGAGATATTTTTGTATAAGGCTCTAGAGATGTCGATAAACTTACCAAGGATACATCAACCAAATAAGCAACTAGAAAGAATATACCAGTCCAACCAGTCCTAATATCAAGAAATACGACTTTTGGCTTACAGTAAATGCGGCACCGTCCTAAAGAAGTTTGATTTCGTAATCTAATGAAATTGCCCTTCACGATTAAGAAGACTTCCTTCGGATGACAGAAACCAATATTACAGACACAGATTAACACCTTGTTCACTGTACATGAATTACGTAGGCACGATGATGGTCTAATTCCACACTGAAGGGAAACTTATTTCCAGATACTTCCCGAAAAAAAATACTCAATTCCTTGACCAGAATCGCACCACCATCTTTAAAAAGGATAGTGTGCCTTATAGAGTTTTAGTAGTTGAAATTTCTTCCGGACTTCCGTGTTTTCAAGTGAACCGATCTTAACCAACCACGGAACGCTGTGTTCTAGAATATTGAAGGCTGACGCTATATGACAGCTAAGTATTTTCCAGGCACTTTGCTCGGCGTTCCAGACTTCTTTTTAGGTCATTAATAGAGATACTTATTTTATTTTATTTCTATTTTTGATTACAGCTTGATTCCACACTGTATCTTTTGTACAAGTATGGAATCTTCAGTCTCACGGTCTTACTGACACCAGGCCTCGTAGTTTTGGTTTGATTTGCAAGAGCCTAACGAAGATTATTATACTCGCATTTCGCCCCAAGAGATACTAGTCCTAAGGAAATTAGACTTAACAACTTCATAATTTTTTTCAGAGGGTTTAGAGTTAGCTTATCAATAGGCTACAGAGATTCACAAGAAATGTGAATTACTCCTAGGTGAAGTTTGTCTTTCCATTAGTGGCGCTATTGTTCATTTACTTGATTTCCATGGTTGTGGTCTGATAATCAAAACAAATTTTTTTTTGATTAGGCATAGTTTACTGAATTACATAAAAAAATACTAGTTCTGGAAAAGCATTGTAAAAAAAACAGAAACAAGTATTCTGTTCGAAAAATTGAAAATTCAGGATAAGTTTAACATCATCCACATACCATACAAACAGGGAATAAACAAAGAAATAGTACAAATATGTTTGAATTCCTGAGTAGAAAGATGAGTTTTGTATACAACAGACTAATTAGGCATTGCTAAAAGTAAGATAAATATCTTTTCTGTTTACGACAAGATTTTACCTAGTAACAAAGAGACCAAATGTAGATTGTAACCAGGTATCTAGGAAAAGAGATTGATACAATATAAATTCACTGTAACTCTTTAGTCATATTGCAAACAGGAGAATAAAAGTTCAATTAACGCCTGTCATGATATGTATGAAGAGAGAAAAAAGAAAAATTCTAAAGAAATAATTAAGAATATTGTCAAGAAAAATCAAAAATTTCATAATTCAAAGAAACTCAGAAAAAAAAGACATTTTATGTGAATCAGCCAGAAAAAGTAATGGCACATAACTTCAACAGCAAAGATCTTAACTTCTGAGATACTACATTGACCGATTGGTACTTTTAAGAATTAGTTCTATCAATTCAGTACAACAGTAACTTTTTAAAGACTTAGTGTTATTGTAGTGTTTACGCTTTTTTTCAAGATGAAAAGTGCTACAGTTATCACAAACGATAAACAAGATGGAGGTCTTATGTTGCAAATGAGAAACAGAGACTTGGTGGTAAATACATTTCATAGGAACCGACACAAATAGAAACCTCTGTTCGAGCATTCCATTAATGTCAGCAATACTAGAAGGGAACAGACAAGAAGATAATAGTGAAAAGATGAAAACAAATACATACATAGAATACACAAAACACCCAGCAAAATGCAACCATAGAATGTAACAGAAGGTTAAAATACATTAAGAAAAGATTAGATAGTGAATAATGAGAACATAGTAGAAAGAGAAGTTTCGCTTAGTTCCCTTAAGAGTATTGACAAGAAAAATGACAACTAAAGTATGAACTGTGATTCAAGATGAAGAGGAATTTGCCTAATTTTTTCATTGACTAATTCATTAAACTACTCAATTAATTGACATTATGTTTATAAATTATGAAAACGGTCTTCACCGACACAGAGAGAATGGAATGGTACATAGTTTTTGCATTTTTGTACTGGATAAGTCACATGGTGAGATTTTGAACGACTCAATCAGCAAGAACACCTAATTTTTTATGTAAATCAACAATTATGAAATAAGTAAACTTGCTGTAAAAGCAAGCAAAAAGCAGGGAATTTCACTATAAGCAGATTAATTGATAACACTCACTGAAACCCAATAGAAGAGACCATTGTAGGCGGGATAAGCTTCCAGTAGTGTATAGTTGGCATTCCAATAGCCATCTGTCTTGAAACGAGATGAAGCACTATCTAGAAGTTTTTGACTGTAAATAAAATTACAATGCAGGATAAGCAGATAGTTTAGAAAATCTAATATTTTAAAGGTACACATAATTATATTTGTTAAGGTAAAATCAACCTATACGATAAGAATTCAGCTGGTATACATAAATGAAATAGCACACCGCGATAACTGTGAATAACGAATACCTACACACTGCTGTAAAATGTCATTTATAAATAACTCTGTACTAGGGACTGAAGTGGTAAAGCACGTTCACCGCTTCACTTATTTGGGAAGTACCACCAGCTAGTGCCAGCGGGTTGATCTCTGACGAAATCTCAGAACGGATACAGAGGGCTAGTTTCGCATATGCCAATTTGCGCCGACTCTGGTGTAGACGTGATATCCGGATATCGACCATCAGTCCGCCCCGTCCTCCTTTATAGCTGTGAGACCTGGTCATTGAGAGTGGAAGACATGAAAAGCCTGACTAGCTGTCTTTGATTATAGGTGCCTACCTTCTATCTCCCGTGTGAAATGGTATAATAAGGTGAGCAATATTGAGGTTAGGCGTCGAGTGCTAGGTAAGGAAGGGAAATCAATCGACGAGGCTGTGAAATTATATCGACGAAGATGGTTAGGACATGTGTTACGTATGCCTAGTCATCGCTTTCCTCGACGGGCAATGTCAGCTGACATAGGGTCAGGATGGAAAAGAGCTAATGGCGGTCAAACCAAAACATGGAACCACTCAATGAAATCTAAAACAGTTAGTTTAAGCCAGTCACGTAGGAAGGTGTAGACTTCCGGGTTGGGGTCCTCGGGACGGTAAAAACCAATGGTTGAAAACAATTGGTGATATGGCTCAAAATCGTTCACAATAGCGCAGATGCATCCACTCCTTGTGACTTATGATTTCCAATGAAACTATAGTGTTCTTCGTTATCACTGTTCCTTTGTCTCACATCTCCGTTTACTGTTTCTATTATGCATTTCTTTTTACTTTCTTCCCTTGCTTTGTGTGCTAAATGGAGTGTGGCGACTTGAACTGGTGCACATCGGTGTAAAGTTTTGTGTCGAAAACAGACAAACAGAGACAACCCTGTACTAGAAACAACTATTTGCCACCATCTGGTTGTACTCTGTAAGCGCAGATGGAAAATAAATCGAGAATGATAATGTACTGATCGCTTCAAAATATACCAAAAAGGCATCATATGCTTGCAAGGAAAATTTTCAATTTGGATTAGAATATCTTCACTTCTCCAGAATACATTTAACATTAGGACAGAGAAACAAAGAACTTTTCCTAAGAATGTACTTCAGTTACCTTGTATGTTTGAGAGCAGTAAATAAAAGTAAACTACTGAACCAAACTTTTGATATCACAGGTTAAAAAACGTACCGTTGTGGATTAACCGGATTATTTGGATCTCTGTTGTGACTGATCATTTTGTAACGCGCAATTTCCTCAGGATACCGCACGATTATGTATTTGGCGTTAATAACTCTAGCATATAAGTCATCATCTTCGCCACCCCATCCATAATACAAGTTCGAAAACCCACCAACTTTTACAAACTGTTCTCTAGTTAGTGCTACTGCACCTCCAAAAATTTGTTGATAAGGAAGACTACAGAAATAATAAAAACAAAACAGTTCACTAAAATTTAGCTCTATACAGCTCTACAAAATACATTATGCGTTCACCAAAAGCACAATGTCAAAAAAATTGTAAAATTTCTATGGTTAGATCGTTAAGTAAGAAAAGATAGAATACCAGGAAAGATCAGATTCACGAGAAGATACACATGATTAAGTCAATTAAAATAGTAAACTAAACAACCACTATTTGAAGTAAATAATCATTTTAAATTTGTTCATTTCAATATTCTAGGATCTATCGGGAGGCTTTGAATGGCTGACTGATTACTATAAAAGACTTCATTACATGGATTTCTTTTCTGCACCGACCACCTAGAATGTTACCACAAATACATCTATCAAGTGCATTCGGTTGTTTTGAACAAGTTCTATTTAATACTCATGTTAACAAGAGGGAAGAAAAAAAGCCTTAGGGTTATCAATAACTAATATTGTGGTGAGAGCTGGCTGTTAGTCAAAATTGGTGGACAGTAATTTACGTCAGTGTTTATGTCCCTCGTAGGCGGATACAATTAACATATAGATTATCTGACATTCAGGAAACAGTCACAAAGAGATGTAAGGTTAACTTTCTGTGAGAAACAACCAATCAGAAGACTGTTTTTCTGCTAACAATAATCTATAATATGTACATGAAAATCTATAAATAATGTGTTGATTTCCTTAATAAACGATTTGTTGCCTGGCCCGTGTCTTCTGTTGTTACATTATGACAATGATAAGAATTAAACTAAGTGCCGAGCAAAACTTTTACCTAATGACATTCTTTGAAATTAATCATGCTAAACTTTGTTAAGGACAAACTCAAAATTATGATGCACATTAATAACTGTTTGGAATAAATTATTGAAATGTAGATGAACAGGACACGAAAATAAGTGGATATATCATAACAACAAATGTCACTAAACTTAGTATTATTAATCACACTCGTTGACTAATGAATATGACACAGATGCTTACGGAAATAATATCCTAGTATACACAGCTGAATGCGTCGGTGGTACAGCGGTTAGGACGCTCGCCGACCATGCACATGGCCCGGAGTTCGATCCCCAGCCGAATCACTCCTTTACCTCGCTAAGCCAGAAATAATCCTGGTAAAGAGGAAAGGTTGGGCATGTGGCTAGTAACTCCATCCTGTAAAAATAAACACTGCTACAGAAACTTCAAGCCACTAGCTTGAGGCCCTATGTTCCAATAGGAACGTGAAGGAAAAAAAATAGACAGCTGAGAAGTGATTATTCAAAGAGTATTCAATATGATACTTGAATATTAATATATCCAATTTTAGCATCAATAAAATAAAAATACTAACTGATAACTGAATTTATCTACAGCAACTGATAAATGTCTCGGTTGATTGGAACATCGGTAAGTATTTCGATCGTCTTCAGGTAATAGATCCACATCATGAAATATAAAACAGTCAAATTTAGCCACTCGCATAGACTCAATAAATCCTATGTTTAAAAGGAGAGCACGATTGAAATGCGTTGTACCATCCTAAAATAGGCATGAGAGTAAATAAAATTTAAATTTTTTTTTATTTAAAGAAAGTAAATGACATTATTCCATTATCAATGGTATATTTAGAATGTTAACATTTACAAAAGTAAAATCGAATACTGTTCCGATGTGTTCATTCAATGGTGACACCAATAGACACTAAAAATAAAAGCAATCTCTTGACTACACTTAGTTACTTTGACAGTTCTGCTTACTTCAAAATTTAATCCCCTTACAAACAAGGGACAGCTGTCACTCAACAGTCACATTGGTTGACCACACAACATATGACTTTGCACACACAAAATAACAGATTACACTGGCAAAAATGCCATAACAGACAAGAATAAAGTAAAGGAACAATTAACTTAAGAGTAATAAATATTTTCAAATCTTTAAATGTGATAAGAACTGAATTCATTTGCATCACTATAAAATTCGTAACTATTTCACTAAGCTTTTACAACCGTCAGCATCCCGACAATTTCATACAAGCAATCTACCATTTCCTTACGTGATTAACACCAACAGTTATTTTCCCCCGTCTTAACAAAGGTATTTTTCATGGGACATCAATATCTTGGACGTTCTTGTTTGTCATCTTAATTTTCAAATAGTCCGTATGTTTAGCTCATCCCCATTCTTTATGGCTTATTTTGTCCCTACCAAAAGCTTGAAAACTTTAGAAACGATAACAATCACGCACACCATATATGTATTGATTAGAAATTCAACCAGTGAATGGTTGTGCAACGCAACCATACTCACTGTTGTTTAACAGACCATATCTGTTGACTTGAATACGTCGTTATGTTCCATCAGTAAGACAGGTGTTGTGACGATGTTTTGCTGTGAATGGGGTGAAAATAATGTATACTATGCTAAACAAGACACATCACACCTGAACACATGTGGTCTTGTAAAAGCTTATGGAAAGTTGTCATCTGAATTGATGTAAACCAGGTGTCCGTCAAAGATGCCTATTCTTATTGGATTCCATTACACAAGTACTAATGGACTTGACGTTAGTCGAGTTTGACATCTCCGGTATTGAATTCCTCGCGGGGAAACGTCTTCTTGGCAGGAAGTGTGCAGATGATAACATCCTTATTTGTGAAGACGGTGACAAAATCCAGTCCTCTAGGCACCTTAGGCAAAAATCTAAGTATGCTTGGTATGCCATTTATCTCCGTGGATTGTAGAATGATGTTGCAGCCCCAAGGGACTGATTGCTGACTAAAGAGTAAGATGAATACAAAAGGCTTATGCAGCATTAGTCAGCTTGACTCATCTCTGGTGGATGCATCATATCCGGCTATCCATTAAAAGATGTGCTTACTGTGCAGCAATTCGCTACATTCTACTTTGCAGTTAGAATACAGTTATTGAAAGTGGAAGAAGTCTTTGTTCAAATTCTCATGTTAGATGGTACAACATGGTCACTAATAATGACGTTACGTCTAGAGTGTTAGGTAGACACAGGATAATTGTGGAGGTTGTTAAGCTCCATCGTCTGAGATGGCTACGATGAGTGACGCGGCGGATTGCTTGAACCATTGGGCTACATGAATTTTCATCCAAAACAATGCATCATATTTACTCTAACTCATAGTTTTGACCATTCAATTATGCTCTTGAGTAACAAAACGTACTCACGCACATTTTTAATTGGATTTCAAAATACCGGTGGGCATTCCTTGGACGAAGGAAGAATATCATAAGGGATTAGTCTATGCTCCCGATAAAAAATCATTGCGTCACTACAGATTGCTATTTTACTTGAAGATCCTAGGTGAGGAGAAAACATTGTGCGATAAATTACGTTCAGAATCGTGCACATTATGTAACTATTTTGTCCAAAATAAAGTTATTTTCATGTGTTACTCATGCCAGATAATCACCTTTCTCGACAAGTAATTTTAGCTGACACAGGATTGAGCTGAAAAAGAGTTAGACGAGAAGATGGAACCAATCCATAAAGTCTTGGACTGTTCGTCCGAGCTGAGTATGAAGGCGTGGACTGAATGAGGTTCTCAGGATACTAGTAATCAACAGTTGGAGACATCGATTAAAATCTTTCACAATGACGGGAGTATATTCACACTCATTTTTACCATGCATATTCCGAAAATTATCACTAGTTTCCCGTTCTTTGTAGTTTCACTACCTTTATTTACTTTTGCGTACTTCTCCAAAGTGTGGCAACTTGAAGTAATGCGAAGTTATACTTTGATAAAACGCGGTTAGTCACAACATATAGTTTTTAAATGATACACGTATGACAGCAGATAACAAACTAAAATAAACGAGAGAATCAAATACAGTGGTTAGAACTCAACTGCCCAAAACAAATCTTCCGTGTATTAGACCGTGTGGGCTAGCAATACTACCCAGCTGCACCACAGAAAGCGTATGGGGCGGGTCTAGAAGTCGAGACCCGTTATTACCAGTGAGTCGCATACCTATTATCAGATAACAGACTACCGTGTTACATTACTAGCTTATTTAAATATACTAGTACACTTATTAATAAAACTGTAGTGAAAGGACGAGTTAAAATGGAGAAAAATTTCTACAAAACCACTAATCCCATATTCTTCATCCTTTATGTCCTCACTTTATTCAACCTACAGCAACTCATGTCCGGAACTGAAATAACGGGCGCTTGAAAATTGAAAAGTTATTTTGAGATACATCCTGATCAGATGCTGTACGAAATTATAGTCAGAAATTAAGTATCACAAAAATGAAAAAAACATCAAAATGCCTGATTTCATTTGGCTAACCTAAACAACATAGTGTGGCAGAAATCTCACAACAGTGCTAAAAAGTACCAAACAAATGCGGTAAAATCACAAGTGAAAACTAACTTGGTTAATAACGAATATCGTATACATAAGTCTTTGCTTCCGTAGGAACGAATGCATATGTTCTAAAAACATACGCAAGTGGGAGTCCCGATTTCGATAAGGCACGATGATAGCTAGTCTTTCAGTTGGATCACAGTCAACTGGACGCCACATTCCAACAAACTTCTCCAGTGATTGTGTCTTGTTTTCAGCGTTAGAAGTGCTATTGACAACCACCACTCTCGTAAGGTTAGTGGACGTATCATAGCGAGTTTGTGAAAGAACAATTTTAGGCTGAAAGGATGATGATGTGTACTCTTCTACTAAATGAGACCAGGTAGGTACTGTCTTCGAGATATCCAGATGCCCAACTGGGAACAAGAAAAAATGATGAATCTGAACAAAGTTTGAGGTATAGATCAAAACAAATAAAATTAAATACACTGAAAAAACAACACAATGAAGTAACTTGAACAACAACATGATACCTATGATTAGAAACAACCTTCCTGTGAAATGAAGAACGACAATAGAAAACTTTAGTCATTTTGAGCGTCGGATTTCTAACTGAGAAAATCACAAGTTAAGACCAAAGTGAGATGTCACATCTAGTCAGTTGTCCGGACGTCAACTGATACCCAACTCCTAAGTAAATAATGTACGACTTTATAAAAGTTAGCTATCCACAACAAGAGTGCATGTTCATTTAGTACGCAACCATTTCCAATCGGTAAATTCTGTTTAAAAAAACTTTTGGCAATCAGTTTGAAAATATTGCAGATTAAACGTAAGACTTTGTATACAAGGGCATTAGCTCAAGGTGCCACATACAGAAGAAGCACAAAATAATAGAATACACAAGCAAGGATGTTGTAGCAGATATGTATGGGGGATGGGGGGAAAGGAATAATTAAATGGGAAGTGATGAACACAATCAGAAATTAAGATACGTTTGAATAAATTCGTAAACTATTCTCAACCACTTCACCAAGAGTCTGCAGCCAATTACCCTTGGTTTCTCAAGGACCCCAACCAGGCTACCTACACCAACAACTTACGACTTCGTGAACTAATAATATGCGCCAGTCTAACTAGCCAACTGTAAAGTAGTTGCAAAACTGTCAGGAGCTCGTACCAACACCACCTTCTCAAGTAAACTATTAGAAATAGATCAAAAATTCACACAGTAAACGCCAGTATGATTTACGCTAACATGCGCCACCTTTGACAGATAAAGGCCCTAGAATATTATACAAACCAAATGAGAAGTAAACCAAGTAAACATAGTATAGCGGTTAATATGAAGCTAATGTATGAGTCCATTCAATTTACTGATACATTAAATTAAAAGTAGTACCAAACTAACCCGCATTAGGAGTATCCCTGGGGCATTCTGGTCGTTGTGAAAGCATCTACAATAAAAAAAGATAGAAGAATTACACGTAGCAATGTCACTTAAAACTACATTAATTGTGAAGAAATCATCTCTGGAGCAAAGCAAGCGTTTGTGATGAGATAACAATAATTTACGTAATTTCCTTGGGAATAACTTAGTTGATTAATCTAACTACATATAAAATATGTAAATACTATCATTACAAATACACTTTATAAAACCTGGAGGAATTTGATTAAATAACATATTCATAAATACTAGAAACTTACAGAATTTTCTATGTCCGTTATACGATATGGAAATTTCAACAGAATAGAAGGTATACTTTGGGAATAATAGACATGAATGTATAGAAGTATCGTTCCGAAAATAATGACGGAAATTGAACAAAAAACACAGATTCGTTGAGAAGTGAAGACGGTCATCATTTCAGTTTTCAGTTCACATATGTTGAAAGGTCACAAGTAGTTTGTGTTATCAGCACGTAAAAATCCCTCTCCCATCTTGTATTTTCGTGAGCGAAAGAGGCGTTAATTTTTCTACAAGATAAAAAGGTAAATTATAAATACGATGTCACTGTAATCTGCTGTAAGCATTGAATCTATTAAAACCCAATATCGTATTACAGTGGTCTCTATCTGTAAGGAATATAAACTAATTTATATCACAAAACATTTCTATGGTTCATTATCCGAGCAATACTAATTACAGAGACATAGAAGTTATATTAAGTTCTTAAACTAAGAACGACATCCTGTAATTTTTCTTAATTCACAAAATATCATGCCGGATCGGTCGGGGCCCGGACTAACAACGACCGCGCTTCCTGCTGCCGTTTCACAGGGTAGAAGTGATAAATATGCTACTGAGACACACCAAACAATTAAGAACAAACAAACAGTAATTTTTCTTGACAAATATCGCAAGCATCTTACTCTTGTCACACAATGCAACGGATATGACTATGAAAAATGAAGACATATTTCCACTAATCTTAGAACTAGAAACTAGTGTGGAATCAAAGGTACCGGGATAAACCCAAAGGAAAATGACAGATGAAGCAAATGCGGATACTAAATACCGCTCCTGTAGAGGATAAAAATATAAAACAGAGAAAGTGGAGCTGAGTCATCGCAAATAATTTTTGAATTACATTACTAGAAGGCGCCAGTTGTTTTCCATATCTCTAAACAGGAAAACAATCCACTACATTATACATACCAATGTTAAGGAGACTCAATTTCGCCTTGTCTATTAGATTCCTAGCCGGTTCCAAGCCAGGGAAAAGAGGGAGGGTCAGGTACGAGGATGGCGACCCAACCAATCAAACTGCTATACAAACCTCACCACACAATGAAATATTAAAAATAAAAAATTATAAAAAAACAAGCTTACTCTTCTCTCGGATCGGAAGGATGAAGTGACACAGGCTGATGAAAGCCTCCTAGAAAGCAGTCAGGCGATGTATTTTCTCTCGATGAAAGCAAGAATAAGAATGGGGACGTAGAATGCACGTACAATGTACAAGGCTAGGAAGGCTGCCCAGATAGCCAAAGAAATGCGAAGATATGGTATAGAAGTGTTGGGAATCCGCGAGAACAAATTGAATGGATGACTATCAAAACTGTCAACTGGTGAGTAATCTACTTTGGCCACCCACAAAACAACCACGAGCACACTGAGACAGTGGCTATCACGATGTCACCGACAGCAGCCAAAACTCCCATGCAGTAGGAACCAATTTGACCCAGGATTACGACAGAGAGATTCAACTCAATAGGAAGGAAGGAAAGTTACAACTATTCAATGCCACGCACCTACAAACAACGCGGAACAAGAGAAGGAAAAATTTCTATAGACAAGTACAAACAGTAATGGGTAAAATCCCGCATGGTGAAATCAAAATCCTTATGGGTGATTTGAACGCAAGTCAAACTGGGAGCAGATAATGCAGGAATAGGATTCATCATGGGTCGCGAGGCTCTGGACGAAATGAATGATAACGGAGAACTCTTCATAGACTTCTATGCTTTCAATGATTTGGTGATCGCAGGCAGCATAAGGATATACACAAAACAACATGAATTTCGCCTGACTGACATACCACAAAACAGGTCGATTTTATCTCAAGGTTGCTCAAGGAAGTGGACCTGCATCTTGCTGATTACAAAGTCAAGAAGGGGAACATATGTGGGCTCACGCCATCATCTAATTCTAGGAACCTTTAAGGTGAAGCTGGAAACCTTCAGAACAACTGGAGACAAACCACAATTCAGGTTCAACACTCAGAAAATGAGATGTAACTACAAAAGATGCCTTCACTGCAGCCATCACAGCAAAGTGAGAGACACTACGTGGAATCACTGAGGAAACCTGCGTGGAAGAACATTGGAACTCTCGGAGTGTGAAGTTCAAGGAAACACAGGCAACCACTTTAGGAAGAAAGAAGAGGCAAAACAAGAAATGACTGTCAACGGACACCTGGAATTTAATAAGGGAGAGGAGAGGAGCATGGTGAAAGAGAAATGACTCAATACAAAGATGGGCAACAGAAGGAGAAGCTGTTTAATGTACACTGCACTGAATAAAGAGATAAGAGAGGAAGAGTGCTAAGAAAGACAAAAGGCAATTCTACAACACACTGGCCGGCAACTAAAGCAGAACAGGTCGCAAGGGAAAGAGACCTCAGATCATGTCAGGTGACCAGGTGATCCGGGAAGAGATCAAGTGAAACCTACGAAAGATGGTAAAGGGAACCTGATTACCAAAGAGAAACAAATAAAACAATGGGTCGGTCACTTTAAAGGACTCTTCAATCGACCACCACCTACTACTCAATCAAAAACACCAGTAACATTACGCACAGAACTGCCTATCAGTGGACACCTCCAACGAAAGCAGAAACCTTGAATGCGATCAAGCTGCTGAGGTCCAAGAAGGCAGTAGAGTCAGACGGAATTCACCCTGAAGCACTGAAAATGGACACAGAGACTGCAGCAGATATGCTGTCGCCACTATTACAAAAGGTTTGGAACAAAGAGAGGAGCTTAGTGATTGGAAGAACGGCTACTTTGTCAAGCTATCAAAGAAGGGCAACTCAGGTTTGTGCAAGAACGGGAGGAGAATAATGATTTTGTCCACGCCAAGTAAAATACTAAGTCGCATCATGCTGCAGACAACAAAACATGCACCGGATGCAGAACTTCGCCAGCCCGGAACAACCTGAATTAAGGAAAGACAAACTATGCGCGGATCAAATTGCTACTCTACGCATCGTCATCATCGAACAAAGTATAGAATGGCAATCAAACCTCTACGTCAATTCCATCGATTTCGATAAAGTGTTTGACAGCGCTTACGAGCAAGTAATTTGCAACTACGGCAACACTATGGCATGCAGTGACCCAAATCTTCATCAACCGCATCCAACAGCTGGTTATATGACAATTTCATGTGTCAGGTGGTCGACAACGGAAAACTCACTAGAGCCTTTTCAGTGAATACAGATGTAAGACAGGCTGCCTGTTATCACTCATGATATTCCTAACTGTGGTCGACTGGATTATGCGTCCGACTGTGCGTTCACACTGAGAAGACAGGAATACTCTGGACCACCAATAAGAAGACTCTAGAAGATCTGGATTTCGCACGTGGACGACTTATGTTTAATGTCACTCGAAAATTTGCAGGCGAAAACGAACAAACTGGCAGAAGAGGCTGGCTGGCTGGCAGAGAAGACAGGACTGCATGTGAACAAAGTGAAGACAGAGGTGATGAAGGTAACCAAACACCGCCACCACCTTCACCACCACCACCAACAACAACAAAAATAACAACGATAACAGCAAGAACAACAAAAATGACGACTGAAAAGACAACGACAACAGACAGACCGTACCAAACAACATCAACGAGAGAAATGTGACAGAGATTACTTCCTTCATTTTTTTTATTTATATAAGCTAATATCACAGCAACATCTTCGAATACTCAATTCTTTATTCGGAAGCATTATAATGCAGCGAATAGCCCTACTATGTGATTATATTGAAGATACAACTATGCGAGAAAGATAGAGGAAGGTTTTAATAGAGTAGAACAGTTCAATTTGTCACAAAAACAAAGAAATAAACTGGAATGCAGTTAAAGAACAGCACTAATGATAGCTAGGTGTCAGAAGAGAAGAAATGGTGCGAAACCGTAATTTAAAATCTCCGGCATTAAAAGGGTGCAGTAATCCTGAAAATCCACTTGTTGAGCCACAAAAACACACGAACTCATAATGATACGAGCAATTCAATAAAACCTTTGTTTAACCTAACACCAGAGTCCACCATAACTAAACATCTGAGGCAACTTTTTAACTTCACTCAACATATTAGCATGTTTGATACAATGCATGACGTTCGTTTCGCAGTTCAACAATCAAAGTGAACATTATTGCCAGATTAGATAAAAGAAATTCGACTAATTTCAATATCACTTTTTAAATATAGTACGTCAACAAGTATCATGTCATTGCAACGTGATTCGGTAGCAGTGGTTATTTTTTTACAGTATGGGGTCGCTACCCCATGCCCAACCTTCCCTCTTTACTAGTCTTAGTGAGCTAGAGGAGTGCGTCGGGCGGGGACCTAACCCTGAACCACATGCGTGGTCGACGAGCATTCTACCGCTGTGCCACCGGCGCATACGATTCCGTATTTCTATATTTTAATACAACTACTGAAATGCATGTGAACAGGATGCTTACGCAAAGCATTTCGCTCGGTCAGTTCCAGAAATGCATTTTATCACCTTACTTATCGTAGCGCGAAATTTTGCTAGGCGTCTTATATGTTGAAACTTATCTGAGACACTCCAAGTTGCGTGATGGCAAGAAAAGCTATTCTAAGAGATGACTTCACAATCATTACACATCACCTTGACACTTGACAAAATTACACAAACTAGAGAATAACACCTAAAAATTAGCATATAAACGCCCTTCAGAGGTAAGGCATGGATCGAAGAACCATTGTTGTCCATACAGCACACCAGTCTAAAAATATTTTATTAGTCAACAAGCGTGGAAATATTTAAGACGAACTAGACAAAAGGCGTAATCACACCAAAATTATGCCAAATGACGTGAGATACTGACGCCGACAGAACTTTAAAACTGAGTGATGAACGCGAAATATCGCAACTAGGTCATACCTAATACTATATCTCAATACATAACAAACTATTGACAATTTCAAAGATGTACAAATCAGGACGTCACATAATATCCACTACTACCATATACTGAAACGTATAAAAATGTAAAAACCCGAATATACATATACATAACACGGTAGAACAGCCTTTGCAATGAGTCAGCAATATGGCTTACAAAAATAGTGTATACATCTCAAAATAACTCATCAACGAACTGCTAAACAAGCGAACACCCCTTATTTAAGCACATTCACAAAATCAACTGACAAAAATGGATGATATATAGGTAACAGCGAGGGTGAGAGCTACCGAGAGGTTTTTTCGCGCACAGTACGGCAAATTCAACTACCGAGTATAAGGCAAAGTTGATGGACCGTAAAACAGCAACCCTATAGATATTTCGATTTTCGGGCAAATAGAGTCCTTGGGATTGCCATCACAAAGAGACCCGTTAAACCTCCGTGTAAAAACAATTCATTATAGCAAGACAATAATAAACAAGAAACTAACAATAGGGAAGAACTCGACCACTGCACATTAGTAGGTGTAACGTAGTCTTTTCAATGAGCGCTATTTGGAAAGACTGAGGTTTTCCCGGCTGGACCTATCCGGCATGTTGGTTGAAATTTCGCTCGGTGAATTTTTTTGTCAATAATTTATATGTTATTGGATTGTAGGGAATTCCCAATTCCTAGCCATTTATGTTGGTGTCCGCGTCATGTGGTCTGACTGCGACACACCCTTAGCAATGATTAGTGTTTCAGGCGGACTGTCAAAATATCGCTACAATGAGAAAGATGAGATAGCTGGAGGGTAATGTCATCAACACAGATCGTTTACTTCATGTAGAAGCTGTAGCTTTCGGCGTAGTATCATTCAATGAAGACTTCACGTCAATGTGGCTATTTTCGTGTGAAGAACACTACTACTTGACAAAAGAATGCTATAAGTACACGAAAATCACCTATAAACCCCAAAAGAACTTTCTGTGGGAACAGAAGTTATCATGTATATGAGTTTTTCACAATATACGTGTTTCGACAGGAATTATCGTAAGTTGAAAGGTTGTCTCTTGGTGGATTTAATACATATTTGCACTGGTTGGTGCAGTGTAGTATGGGTTACATGGATTCAGTGTATAAAAAAATTTCCACTTTAATAATATCGTGCCGTTGCCTTCTTATCTGACTGCTAGGCTAACAAATGTAGGTGGTTCTCGTGACTGTTGCAAGTGCAGTGTATTGGAGAAGGCAATGACTAGTTTAATCTTCCCCACTGTTTCACCTAGTGCATTAGTTATAATAATAATAATAATAATAATGTATATTCTCATATAAACATATAAATTTACATGAAAATGCATGCCATTTTTACAGGCACGATCAAGTATGATATAATATCAAATCGTAGATTGTCTACAAGTTAATAATGTTTCAACAGTTAAATATTTGATATATATATAAATACACATTGTCTGAACTAGGCTGTATAGTTATTGAATTGTACAATTGTCCTCCAGGTTGAGCGGGAAAATCGACTTCGTTTCGTTTTCATCCCGTGGTTGTCGGCATACGATAACCAACCAATATTGAGGTAAGTACAACGTTTACAAGGGATTGAAAGCTGTTTTAGAAAAGTAAAAGTGCTGAGGTGAATCATTAAATTGTAATGAAATAGGTAAGTGCAAGTATCATTAATAAATGCATTAAAAAAAGAAAACTCCCTAGGCTGACAACGTTCATTTGCAATGTATAATGCTACACATATACCTCGTACTATCATGATGTCCACTTTTGGTTTTAATACATTTATCCTCAGTTGTGCCAGTTGTTTTTGTTTTATACCTTTTTGTGCATTTAATGTACAACCGTACCCTTCAGAGAGTAGGAATATAATAAGTCATAAAGAGCTGTAAAATGTTAGGTTTAATGGAATATAATGAGGATCAAGTAAAGACGTTATTGGAAAATGAATGAGATAAGACATTGTGAAGTGGTATTTAAAGATCAGTCAATGGACAGCAAGTTAGTTTATAAGATGCCCCATAAAACTGTGCACATCCCACATGGTCGCATCTCAACAATAGGCTGGGCGAATAGTATATATTTAGAGGTAGAAGCATGATCTGTCAAGGCGTTCATTATTATCTTTTTCAAGATAAAGATCTAAGCCCTCATAAAAATCAGAAATATCTCGAGCCTTTAATTTGTGTATTGCTGTTCCTGCAGAATGGGGCGATTCACCTTAGTGACCCCCACCATATCTACTGATCAGCTAACGCCACCCTCCCTCCTTTTTTGATGTTAAGCTCTGAGACTATGATTATTATGGCTACCGCAAATATATTGCTTGGTACCAGACATGTTCGTACCTCATATTCCATCTCCCTAGCTTTCTTAATGAGTGCTTCCAATAGGTCTCCGCGTACATCTTTATGAACATTATATATGTATGCATGCGTCCTAATGAACAGATTACTTTACAAGAAGTTAGAACCTTAAAGAATAAAAAGAATAGGTTTTGTGAATAGTGAAGCAAGATTCAGCAGAACAATATAGTTAGGGATCAATGTAGGTAGTATGAACTGAAGGTAAGGTCGGTTGGCAGGACTTAGTGTACTAAATTATCATGACAGTCTTGTATATAGTAGACATCTGACATTGCAAAGTAACGTGTCTAAACATATTATAAAAAGATATTAACAGAACCAACAAAATTTCAGCATTTGTTTAACAATACTACAGAAGGGTAGTTAGTACTACAGGTAGTCGTAAAGTAAATCAATCTATGTATAATAAGAGCATAGTCAGTGTCATAATTCGTATTATCAAAGAATACATTAGGCTCAATAACTGAGTGTTATAAGGGAAACAAGCATGGTAAAGCAAGAGAACACTTGCCGCATAGCTATTTTAATCATTTTAAGTATTTTAATGACAATCGAATTTCAAGTATTGAACCTACATAATTACTAAGTGTTATTATATTGGTATTGGGACTAGTGTACTTTCCGTAGTTAAATATTGAAAAGCCATTGTCTCTCCACTCTACCAGCAGTTGAGATCTTTGAGGCGGGCTAGGGTGGACATGTTTATATGTTTTTCTAGGCTCCTTTTGAAACTGTCAGGCCTTTCACAGGATCTTATCTCAGAGGGTAGTTGGTTCCAAAGTTTGCAATATTTAATGGTGAAGAAGTTAGCTCTAGTGGTGAGTTTATGGGTGTTAACCTTGAGAAGGTAGTTGTGGTTGCGTAGTCCATACGATTTAGGATTAGCCCAGGTTATGGACGAGTTACTGTTACAGTGCTTTCTTATAACTTTGAATAAGAGAAATAAATTGCACTTCACTCTCCTTAACCATAAGGGCTCTAAGTCCAGTCGAATACATCTGTCAAGGTATTCTATTTGCTGACCATAGCCTAATATGCGTTTCGTAAGGAATCTTTGGACACTTTCAACTTTTTTCTGTCTGCCGACTTGAAGCTACTGTATAAGTGGGCACAGTATTCAAGTTTGGGGCGAATGCATATCTTATATATGGCTAATCTGGCTTCTGGAGTGTAAAAGTTGCGTAGCACAAAGCCGGTTAGACGTTTACAATCAGATACCACCTTATTTGCATGTTCAGTAAAGGTAAGATCTGAGTATGTTATCCCGAGATCTGTGACTGTGTTTGTGTTTGAGACAAGGTCACCGTACATGTATAGACACATGCTAGGTTTCCAACGTCCGAAGTATGTTATCCCAGATTTAGCTGGATTGAACGTTAACTGCCACTTTTCACTCCAATTACATAGACTATTTAGGTCTTCTTGGATTTTACTAACAATATTCATATCATTATAGTCAAAATCATAGACAACTTTGAGGTCATCTGCAAAGAGGTATGGCTTGCCATACTTGATCATAGAGACAATATCATTTATGAATACAATGAATAGGGTAGGGCCAAGAACACTACCTTGTATCACGCCGCTGGTTATCGGTTTGGATGTTGATAAGTGATGGTTGACTTTAACTAACTGTTCTCTTCCTGTAAGAAAGGAAGTTATCCACTCAAGAAGCCTTCCACTTATTCCATAAGATAGGAGTTTCAGTATGAGTCTTTTATGTGGGACTTTATCAAAAGCTTTCCTAACATCTAGAAATAATGTTGCTGCCGAACGACCTTTGTCTACACATTCAGTAATGTGGTCGAAATAATCTAACTGGCACGTAATGCACGATCTTCTATTTAGGAAACCGTATTGGAAAGGGGATATTAAGTCATTCGAGAGCAAATACTGAACAATTTGCTTCTTTACAATCTTTTCCATCACACGTGAAACTACGGAAGTAATGTTGATGGGGCGGTAATTATCTATGTCCGCTGTAGGTCCGGTTTTGTGAATGGGTACAACGTAGGATTTCTTCCAGCTATTTGGATATGTTCCACTCCTTATCGAAGTTGAAAATATCTTGAGAAGAAGTAGATTCATGTCATTTCCACCATTTTTTAAGAGGACGGAAGTATTAGTATACACATGTATTGTGTTGATTATGAGAACTGAATCTTGTTAGCTTTGTTATTATTCATCTACTGTCTCTTATATCGTTTCCACTGACACTGTAAAGAGTACAGTGCAGTGTCACGATTGAATGATTCTCTGTACTGTTGGGACTGTGTATAGCTGCTTCGAGTTGAGGCATGTCCAGCTTATATTTGATGGCTACAGTTTCCCAAATATGAGAATGTAATTTGTTCAGGATTCATAAAATTATGTTCACTAGACACTACTCAGATTGTGGATCAATTTCTAAGTTACACATTTGCGATAAGTCCTTTAATGTAAGCGTATTTAGTGTGAAGTTCATCTGCAAGTAATCTTGATGAATGACACCTTAACAGTATGGTTGTTTCAAGGATTGTCGTAAAATTCGCGTATAATCCTCCAATACTGGAAGGTATATGAGGTCTATTGATGCATACGGTGTCAATATAAAGACCATTTGTGGACTACAAATACTTTTGTACTTTGATAAAGCTATCAGCATTAATTAGCGAAACGTCAGTAAAAACAATATCGTTTTGTTTTTCATTTATTGGGAAACACAAAATCCTTTATCGTTACAAGTACTTTTATCTACATGAGAATCTTATTTAGTATTAATAGAATTGGTGTATTCATGTTGTATACTAATATGTAAAATTATCTTTCATGACTCCATGTTCTGCCCCATATTTTAGATAAATGGAGGTTGTTGTATATGAAATGTCAATCTGTCAAACTAAGGCTAATACTTCATCACGATTTTCTTTTGTAAATTTATGATGCGTTTCATATACCCTTAATTTCTGTTCTTCTGGGCTTCTTCAGTGCATCGCTACACTATGAGCTTTTGTAATACGTGAATTCGGATTAATGCATGTTAAACTTAGTGGAATGGAGACTCACCATAGTCTTACGAGACTGTTAACTTAGTCATTCACAGGATTTTGCGTATGTTTCTATACAGTAGCACATTGCAAAAACTAAGCAGGGTTTAGCAAGTGGAATAATAATTCTGCACTATTAGATGCGACAAAGTCGCGATATCTAGCCACCTGCAAATCCGTGTGATGTTAAACGCCAAGTATGAGTACAAGTAAGTGGCAGCTACTCCATTAATGTGTTAGTATGCAGTGACATCATCGAATAGACTGTATACTTGGC